CCCACCCCCAGGTGAGGCTAGGAGGGGCTCACCTCCAGGTAGGGCTGGATGGTAGAGTACAGTCTGCTGATGGCCACTTCATCCGCATGAGGAGCCAAGGCCACAACCAGGTCCAGAACAGACAATCTGCTTGGGGCAGGAGATGGAGGGCTTAGGAGGGCCGGAGAAGGACAGGGGCCAGCAGTGCTCATGTCTAGTGGCCACAGGACGTGGGAGAAGCCAGGGTGAAGACCAGGACCTCACAAGAGCTTGGGGACGATCACAGATGCTACCCAATTAAGCACTCATAACGTAACAGGCCCTGGTCCTGGTGCACTACACACACCACTCCTACTATTTTTATGCCCCTTTTACAGATCAGAACTCACAGGCACAAGGCAGCTTAGCAGGTGTCCAAGGCCACACAGCTCACAGTCCACAGGGTTTCTGCTAGACAATCCCCCGGCTCAAGCAGGGAAGCCTTGAACACATTACCTGGTGAAGTCTGAACTGGCAGGGTCAAGCACCTTCTCACTTGCTTTTTCCAGAAAACCATTCACCAACTGGACGTCCCAAGAGAAAAATAAGAGCAGCCATAACTAGCAGGTACCAGAGCCATCTCCCACGGCTTTGGAGCCTCCAGCTGAGCCCAAGCCGAGGCTGTGTGGCAGAGAGCCTCAGAACCTGGCAGCCGGGGCTTCAGCCTTTCCAACAGGCCCACCCAAGCTGCTGACCTGAGGTACCACCCTGCTCCTAGCTCACCTGAGTCTCAGTTATGGTGAGATAAGTTTTGATAGTCTCCAGCACAGCTCTGCGAGGGGCTGGTGTGTCCCCAGTAGCTACAGGCTGCCCATACAAGTTGAAAAGGATTGGCAGGAAGTTTTTGGCAAAGCGGCTCACTTCAGCCCGATCAGCCTCTAGCAGGAAAACCAAGTTTGCATTAATGGGACAGAACTGCCTCTGCCTCCATGGCCACCGGGGCTACAGCCAGAGACACCCTCTTAGGAGACACCGGCAGGACCTCAAACTCATGGATACAGTTTCTTTGGCAGGACAGGCTAAAGAACAAGGTGTGAGAACATACTGGGGGTAGCAGTGGGATGAGACCTTCATGTCCAGCTCAACCCTCAGATGGCAGAGCTTTATACCCGCAGCTCTGCCAGGCGGCTAAACTGCAGGTGGCCAGGGAGCATGGTCAGAGACTGTGTTACCCTCTCAGCAGCCTCACATACCTGCCTCACAACCCCTGGTGATGAGGGTGCGCAGGGCCTGGCACACAGTGACTCTCAGGTCCGGGCGCTCACTGATGGCAGTGCCCAGTGTCCGTGCCAGACCTTTGAAGGAGGCAGCCACATCTGAGGGCCTTGTGCAAAACCCAGGCAAGAGGGTCCAGATCTAGAAAGGAGACAATAAGGGACAATGACAGCAGAGCCCATGACTCTTCCCTCCTCACTCATCTCACCCCCGCAGCTGATTCTCACCTGCCACTGCAGTGTGTCGTAGATCTTGGACTCCACTGTGCTCCCTGCCTGGGCCAGCTCCAGAGCTAGAGTATGCAACAAAGACATGGGGTGACTCTGGGTATCCGCCTGGCCAACGGGCCGCATTTTACCAAAAGCAAAATGCCTAACCATGAGGACAGGAATATGGGTGATTTCCCCTCCACACGGGTTGGATCACAATACTTGTGACTCAAAACCTGTAACAGACTTAGGGAAAAGAAGGTAGCTATCTCTCCATAATCTCACTCCCTCAGACATGGTTTCTAGTCCTTGTGCTTCCATTCTCTCAGTCTCTCTCTCTGTCTCTGTCTGTCTCTCTCTTCCCTCCCTCCCTCCCTCTCCTTTAAAAGTATTTGTTATTGGGTCTCACTATGCAGATTGAACGCATACTGATCCTTCTTTTTTCAGCCTTCCAGGCCCTGGGATAACAGGCGTGCACCAACAGGGCTGGTCTTTCAATTTCTTTAAAAACATACTTTTAGAGGGCTGGCCAGATAGCTCAGTGGTCTAAGCACCTGTTTAGGCAAGCTCAAGGATCTGGGTTCGATTCCCAGCACCAAATGCCACACCAATGAGACTGGGCATGGTGGTGCATGCCCGTAATGCCAGCGCTAGGGAAGCTGAAAACAGAAGGATCACTACAAGTCTGAGTAGCATAGTGAGACGCTGTATGAACCAAATACATAAAAATTTAAAAATAAATAAACACTTTTAGGACATAAATAGAACTATGTTATATTATTCTGGAACCTTGTTTACTTGACAATAAACGTTATTAGGCACGTTCTGTTTTAAAGTCTGTGTAATAAACACTGCTTATGGTTATTTCATTTCATCCTTATGGTGTAATTATCCTGGCCAGGAGGATCACTGAGTATTTGAGACCAGCCCGAACTACAGAGGAAGATCTCGTCTCAGAAACCAAAAAAATGAGGCTGGCGGGTTAGCTCAGTTGTCTAAAGCACCTTCTTGAGCAAAATCAAGTCAGGGGCAAGGGACTGCGCCCCAGCACCACATATTGTACTAGACTTGCCCTTAAGGCAGCCTAAGCAAGCAATAAATAAATAAGACGCCAAAAACATCTGGGGAGACAGTTCAGCAGCTTAAGCGCCTGTCTGGCAAGTGCAAGGTCCTAACCTGGTACCAAAAAGACCCACATCCAATAACACTGCATATGCTGTGTAAAAATACAGTATTTCCTGAAATACTTTTAGTCTTTGACTGCAGATAGAGAACCAAGGCTACAAAAGGCCAACTACATACATACATACATACATACAAACAAATACATCCTAAGATTTAAGTCTATCTCAGGGGCTCTCACAAGTAAAAGGAGAACTATTTATTGCGGTCCAAGGAGGAACAAGACCAAGGGTTATAAAAGCTCCATGGGAAGGGAGAGAGGGGCACAGATGCATCCCCGCCCCCACTGCCAGGCAGGGCAGTCCCAGGAGGGAGGTCTGGCCATGCCGGGGGCCAAAGGTATCTGCTCAATGTCCTGAGGCATGGTGTGCAGGACTCAGTCCCCTCTGGCCCCCAGTTAAGGTCCCCAGAAATGGGGGGCCCTGGCTGCAAACAGGCAAGGGCTCTGTACCTTTGCTCTTCAGGGTGGCAGCCAGGGGCAAGAAGTAGGTGGTGAAGAAATTAAGCCTTGTTTCCCGGACATGGTCCCTGATGACAGGTAGCAGCCAGCTCCGTGGGAAGTCCAGAGTCTCCCTGGGAGGAGGACACAGTGAGGAAAGCGACAGTCTGAAGACTACTCTGCACAGGGACTGGCAGACATCCTTTCCCTAGGGAAAACTGGGGAACAGAGCTACCTGGCAGTCCAGGACCTGGCCAATGCCAAACACAGTCACACTTACTCGGAGCCATTAATTTCCAAAGGAACAGCCTGCAACACCACCTCGGGCCCCATGCTGGTCACTGCAGCCCCCACTGCCTGGTCTAGGGCTGTCGTGTGGGGGAAGTGAGGGGAGAGGCGCAGGTCACACAGGGACTGGAGGCACTAGAGAAGAGGGATAAGAGGTTACAAAAGGAACATGCCTGCAGTGCTGGGAATGCACCTCAGGGGCACAGTGCCTGAGGTTCTTGGTTCAATGCCCAGTACCTTTTCCCATTCCTCCTGTGACAGCCCAGTTGCCCTCTGGGAACACAGAAACATGAGTGGCAGACAGTGCAGACACATGACCCTCCCTAGCAGCCCAGGGCCCCACAAACCATCTCTGCCCTGGCCCAGCAGCTCCCAACTCACCTTCTTCATCACAGGGTGGGCCTGCCTGCCACACACCTCAAAGAAGACACACAGCAGCTGTAGCACAGAGCCCCACGCTGCATGGAATTTGTAGGTCAGGCCTTCCTCCACTGCCCTGCCAAGAAGAGGCACAAATGGCCAGTCATACCACCCAGTGCCCCAGCCAAGAACTGTCAATGGCTGGCACCACGAGCTACAAACTCAAGCTGGCCCATAAAGTACCCCAGGAAATAGAGAGAACAAATAACACTTAGAAACTGTGTCCATGAGGCTCCTTCTGCTGAGTTCAATTACATACTCCTAGTAGTTAAAGAAAAGCTGTTAGAGCTGGTGAGATAATTCAGTGGACTAAGTGCCTGCTTTGGCAAGTGCAGGGACCAGGGTTCGATCCCTAGTCCTGTGCCTCCGGGGCATGCTGAGCAGGCAACAGTCTGGACATGGTGGCAAATGCCTGTACTGCCAGCCCTGGGGAGGCTGAAAATGGGAGGATCACTATGAGTCCAAGCTGAGACCCTGTACCAGATACATAAATGAGAAAAAAAAAAAAACCACTGCAGGCAGGCAGGACACTATTCCCCTGTAAGCATATATCCTAACAGTCTCCTTTGGATGGCAAAAAAAAAAAAAAAAAAAAAAAATCGAAAAAATAAAAACCTGAGAGGTGGTAATCATTTCCAGCTTTTTTTTTTTCCCCTTTTGGCAGAACCAGGGATTGAACTCAGGCCCTTGCCCAAGGGTTTATTCTACTGAACTATTTCCCCAGCCCCATTCCCAATTGTAGACGGGGTGAAGTTAACTTGCCAGGGTCACTCTACTGGCAACCACACCGAGTCTCCCCAGTCCACATCCTGTCAGAGTCCTATGGGAAGAAGATGGGACAGAACAGGCAGCCCAGGCAGAAAACAGTGCCTCTACCTAGGCCAGCTCCTGTATACCCCAACTGGCTCCACCTCCTGCACAATCCCTGCCCAGCATTCTGGGGACTTTAAGGAGTAAGAGCCCATAGGAGTCAGTGCAGGCAATAGGTGTAGCTGGTGGGGAAGTTCTAGCCTGAGATTTCCTGGAACTTCATCCCAGATGTACAGACCTCTGTCCACACGAGGAACAGTCCCCAGCATTCCATGTGGAACTGGACAGAGCCAGAGAAGACCCAAGAACCCTAGCTGCTTTCCTGAGATGACACAGGGGTGCTGCCATGTACGTGAACGGTTCCTCTCACAGGTGGAGGGCAGCACAGTAAGAGTGGATTCTTAGTGGGTGGTCACCTGTCACTGGCCAGGTGATCTCAGCTTTGTCAACAAATGGGGTTAACACTGCTCTCCTAGTACCTTAAGGATCACTGCAGCTTCTATTTAATACTTTCCTGCTGTACCCTTTGACTGACAAAGACCCTGAGGTTTGGAAAGCCTGAGGATTAGGCCTAGGGGCCAGGAATTCTGGGACAGGAACCCAGGACACAAACCTTTCCCCACACTGTGGCACCTCTCCCGCTGGAAGCATATGTCAAATGCGGCAGTGCTCCAGCTGGCAGGAGCTGTTCTGGCAGACTCAGCATGCAGCCCGACACCCCACATCCACCTGGTGCTAGGTGATGTGCTGCCCACAGTACGTGCCAAGTGGAGCACTGGTCACTATGTAGAACTTTTGTTTTTGGCGGAACCAAGGACTGAACTCAGGCCCTTGTGCTTGCCGGGGACGCGCTTATTCCACTGAGCCATCTCCCCGGCCCTAGAACTTCTGACAAGGCACCCTTTGTGTCTTCCTAACATGACATCATGTTCTCACCTGAACATCTTGGCAATATATCGGGCAGCACCTGAAGCTGAAGAGGTCACCAAGCCGATGTCAGCCATGTGCAGAGCCACGCACTCCTTTAGGATCTCCTGTGGAGAGGGGCACGGACTCCCTGGATCAGGGCATTCCCCCAGGAACACTCATCCCCCCCCCCCCCCAGGTCACTGCCTGCTGACGCTTCCCAAGTGTCTACTCCCACAGGAGACCAAGCTGGGCCCCAGGTGAATTGCACAGCAAGCAGGACCCCATGCTCCCTGCTTCCTTAGTGAGGGCAGTGGCTGGGAAGCTGCAGTACCTTCAGGCTCTGTGTGGTAGCTGTCACCACCTGCAAGTGAGGGGAGAGGAGACAAGGCATCGCAGTTCCAAAAAAGCGAGCAAGGTGGCCTAGGCCTAGGTCCCGCTGCAACCTGTCAAGACAAAAGGTTTGGGCTAGGGAAATGGCTCAGTAGGATAAGCGCTTTCATGGCAAGCACAAGGGTCTGAGTTCAATTCCCGCTTCCGGGAAAAAAAAAAAAAAGCCGGGGAGATGGCTCAGTGGAATAAGCACTTTCCTGGCAAGCGCAGAGGCCTGAGTTCAATCCCCGGTTCCACAAAAAGACAAAAGGTTTCTGTGAGGCTGGGCTCTATGCCTCAGAGACTCCAGCAACCAAGGCGAAATCTTCACAAGTCCTGTTCAAGCACAAGCAATGGCCTGTAGGCCTCTGATCTTTAGGGTCTTTTTTTTTTTTGGGTCATTTAAGACTGTCATTAAGATAATAAATACATGTGGTAGGGCCGGGGCCAGAGGCTTGATCCGATGGCATACCATGCCAGCCCTGCCCCCGGAGCGCGCTGAGATGGTAATTAAGACTGGGAGTGTCTGTCATCCCAGCTCTTAGGAGGCTGTCAACAGGCAATCGCTAGAAGACCCATCTAGTAGTGAGACCCCGAACACCCTGTAGACCCTTCCCTAAAATACAAAAATAGGGGCTGGGGAGATGGCTCAGTGGAATAAGTGCCTCCCTGACAAGTGCAAGGGCCTGAGTTTAATCCCTGGTTCTACCAAAAAAAAATAAATAAATAAAAATGTGAAGGGACCTAAAATACAAAAATAAATAAATACATGTGGTAAAAAATTCAAACAGGCCAGGTATAGTAGTGTACACCTATAACCCTGGCACTTAGAGACTGAGGCAGGAAGGTAACTGCAAGTTTGAGGGCAGCCGGTGCTTCATGGTGAGCACAAAAAGACAAAAGGTTTCTGTGAGGCTGGGCTCTATGCCTCAGATTTCTAAACTACACCGTGAGACCTTTTCTCTTTTTTTTTTTTTTGGCGGTACCAGGGATCGAACTCGGGACCTTGCACTTGCCAGGCAGGCACTTACACCACTGAGCTATATCCCCGGCCCGCCATTTTCAAAAAGCAAACAAAAGGCCAGGGATACAGCTCAGTGGCACAAGTGCCTGCTTGGCAAGCACAAGGTCCTGAGCTCAATTCCTGGTACCAAAAAAGGAAAGAAATAAAAAATAAAAAAAGTAAAGCCACACAAACATAAAAATTCAAACAGGTTTTCAAGGTAGAGAATGAGGGGCACAGGGCCGAGGAGATAGCTCAGTAGAATAAGCATAAGCGCTTGCCTGGCAAGCACAAGGGCCTGAGTTCAATCTCCAGTTCCGCCAAAACAAACAAACAAGAATGAGGGTCACACCTGCCTTAATACTTTTATCTGGCCTGACCTTTAAATACATCTACTAGAGGAAAATCAAAGTAAACTTCTTATATGTTCACCCAAAACTTTTACATATACACAAACATACAAAATAATAATTGTTTAATATTTGTATAACACCACATACCACTAATACTACATGTATTCTTTTTTTTCTTAGAACCGGAGATTGAACTCAGGCCCTTGCGGTTGCCAGGGAAGCGCTTATTCTACTGAGCCATCTCCCCGGCCCCTACTACATGTATTCTAATCATTTTAATCTTTCAAAAACTATTCAGAGGGCTAGGGAGACAGCTCAGTGGCCTAAGTACTGCCCGGAAAACATAAGGTCCTGAGTTTGATCTCTGATACAAAAAAAAAAGGAAGCCAGGTACAGTGGCAAATGCTTGTAACCCCAGTACTTGGGAGGCCGAGGTGTGAGGATCACTGGGAGTTCAAGACTAG